GATATCATGAAACGTATGAAGCGGAATTCAACAATACAATCGACACATCATATAGCGAATCTCGCGATTAACTGAACGTTCTCTACGTTTTTCATTTGAAAGTTCAACCTGATTCATTCATCGTGTTTACGTAATTTTTACTCACAATACTATTTTCATCCTATTACAAATGGACTTCTGTTAAATAACTATTAATTATTGCAACCTTAAATTTCTATTAATAACTAATGTGCAGCATCATGAAAAAATGAGAATTTGCGGTGATTTAAGCGCATTTTAACAATATCTATAAAAAATGCTTAGTTAATTAATCTCATGACAAAATGATAAAAAATTTGTCTAAAAAAAAAAAATAATGATTTCATATATTTTTGCATGTATAAGATTATATAATTATAAATTTTATAAATATTATAAAAATATTATCGAATAATATAAAACCAATACTCCAAGAAGAAGCAAAATTGCCTTAATATTTTATTCAAAATAAAGCACATTTTACCATTTTTCCACACATTTTATCATGTTTCAATACTTTATCCCAATAACCTTTCGTGTTTAAAAAGCATCATTTAACTAAGAGGAATTGTTTTAAGCAATCAAAGTCCATTTCCTTGACCGCGTGGAGGAAAGAGATATTTTCTCTATACTCTATATTTCGAGAGTATATGTCGATATTGTTGATTGAGCTGAAGAGCCATAGTCGATACAGGACAAACAGAGCGGCAAAGCAATAGAAGAAGAGGGAATTACTAAAGAGAGAAGAGAAATGGTTCTTTTACTATCCAATTTCAACTATTTTCGTATTTTCACGTGGATTCTATTATTGCTTCTATTGTTTAAATTGATTCGAATTTTTCGATAGAAAAAGACAGAAAATTTACGGCGATAAAAAATTCTTATTATTAAATATTTAAATATTTAAGCATTGAATAGAAGAATTGTCATATTATTTTTAAACATGTTTTGATTCATATTAATTATATGATTTTGTAATAATTTTTCAAAAATCTTTAATAAAGTTAATCTATAAGACCTATTTTCAACTTCTCGATTTATATATATTTATATATTTATATATAATTTATATATTTATATATTTATATTTAAATATATATTATATATATATAGATTACGTTTGCCAGTTTCCCTTTGTCAATTAATAAGTAGTAATTTTCTAAGCGATAAAATCTCTCTCTACTTATATCTAAATGTAATTCAAAATCTACAGAAAAATCGAGTAATCTTATTTTCTTTTTTTTCTTAGGTTATATATATCTAGATTTAATGCATGAGGAGTTGTTGACCAGAAAAGGGCTTCCTTAATTAGAAGCTGATGGGAAGACTAACTACTGCCATATTAAGCGTAAAGGTGATAAACTATTCTTATTTTTATACAATATCTGTTTAGATTTTATTTCACATTTTATTTCTATTAAGATGAGAAACCAATCTTCATATAATAAAATACCATCACTATCTTCAATATTGAATAATAAATATAGTGCCATATAAATTGAGACATTGTATATATTTTTTCTACTATAATATATTTTTTTATAGAAATTTCTCATATAATATACATCAATAATTAATAAGCATTAACGTTAATTGATTCATCAATAATCAACTGAGGAAATCAACAATAATCTCTAGGCCTCTAATTATAATGCTTCGTGAAATCAGTTTTTATTGAATCGAATAAAACAACATTATTTTGATGCAAATTTCTTACGCGAACAACTCATATATTTAATATTTACATATTTAAATTACGAATTATAATATTATTCTGAACAATACACAATTTCCTATATATTTTATTTCTAAAACTCTTATAGAATTCATCATATCTGCATTTTGAGAGATCAGAATCATAACCTTATATTCGATTATTTTATTGCAATTATTGCAATAGTAATCAATATATTGTAATGAGTAATAAATAGTGACTAGTTAGTTATTATAATGTAGTCACTTATTGTAAATATTAACTATACTTTTATTAATATTAAGTTAATATTTAATTAATATTAAGTAGTATAATATTTATGGTATAATAACAAATAGATATCTATTTCTGTGACTATGTATCGATGGAATTAGTTAAATAATAAAAGAATTCTACAGTTTCATCAATATATTTTGATAATAAATCGAACAAATATCTTTTTTTAAACAATTCTACCATCTTATAAAAATTCAAAATAAAAAAAGAATTTCTGAAGATAATCAGAAGAAAATTAAAGTATATAATGCAAGACTCCACTCAAATATATGATTTAAATGTATATTCAAAATATTTGATTATTCAAAATATTTGAACTATATAATATGAGTTCTAATGTTTGTTTCGATTAATTTAACAATATAAAAACTTTTATAACAGTAGTTTATCCTAGAAGAAATTTAAAAAAAAATTATTTTAATTAAAAAATAGAAATAGAAAATCATTGAAAATTTATTTTGTTTGATAATTTATTGAGATAAATTATAGTTTGATATAAGTTAATTCAAATAAAAAAGTTTAAATAAAAGAAGAAAAAACTTAATTTTCTTATTTTCAATATTTATTTGATTCACTATAAAAACTCATTGTTTAATTTACGTCATGATTTTGGAGATAACGTTTCTTTCAATAAAAAAGAAGAATCGCTTCTACTAATTAAAATAAAATTTATCAAATAATTAATTAACACAAGATTTAAATGATATTTCAATATTGCTTATTATTATAAAATTATGTTAATAACAGATAAAATATACTTGATTGAAATTTAATATATGGATATATATCAATAATGTTATCAAATACATTTACCAATTCAAACAAAACTGATACATGATGAAAATCAATTTATATATCACGATTAATATTATTTTAAATAAAAATACTACTATTATATTATATTCATTTTTATTAAATAACCTAATTAAAAAATATTGATAAAAGAATCAAATAAAATAGATTCAATTTCTATAATATAGAAATTAAATAAGATGACCTTAGAACAATAAGTGACAATTAAACCGCAGAATATTTCGATCGAGATTTATAGCATATAAGCATTTGTGTGCATTTATGTATTCATATGCTGTTACTTATATCGGATCGCTTGCGCGCGATCATAGAAATCATTGAATGAACCATAGAAATCATTCACTGTTCTCATTAGTCGCTTCTTTTCGACTGATGAGTTATGTGAGAAATAAAAATAAAAAATAAATCTCTTGTCTGATTTTCATTAAATATTATAGAATTTCTTTCTCATTAAATTTTCAATTTTATATTATTTCATGAATTTCAATCAAATTAATATAATAACGAAATTACAAAATATTATTGATATCAATATTGTTGATTTTTAATAATTTCATCGAATTTCATTATTACTTGATAATTACATAATTTTTAATTTATTATTATTATTATTATTATTATTTTAATTAAAATCACTAAAGAACTAAAGAAATTCATCATTACACATCATAAAGATATGTTTATAAATTTATTAATAAAAATATGTTTCGTTATAAAAAAAATATAAACTTTTTTAATAAAGTCTTACTTACAAAAAAAGCCAAATGCATATTTTTTTCTATACAGCAACGAACTGCACAATATATGCGTACATACATTCACACACTAAATTGAATATTTATAAATTAAGGTTAACAGAACGATACTTGAAGATTGTCTAAAAACTTTAACAGAATTGTCTTTTAAAAGAGATGGTTACGTTTCAATTCGTCGGATGAACGAATTCACGAATATGGAAAAAAAATTTATGAACGATTGTAAGCACTCAATAGTGACAATAGAACAATAGTTATAACGAAATGGTGGGAATTGAAAAATGGTGGCATTGGAGTATGTCTCGCCAAGCTACCGATAATAAGCTTGACAGATTTTAAGATATTGGTTTAAGCCGCTGTAAACTGAGAGAGTTGATAACGTGCTGAAGTAAAGTATCATACAAATATTTCATGACGCTAATGTGCTCCACGTTGTCGTATCATGACGTCAATCGAGACTAACGGGTAAAAGGAACGAAAACACATTCAGGATATATTTGAACGTAGACATATGAGGCAATGGGAGGGGAGAAAGGGCGATTACACACGAATGTGCCATCTGCCATAACCAAATTAAACTCGAATTTCGAACTTTCGTGAAGAAACGTGGGAGCGCTACTATCGGTTCGAGAGAGAGAAAAGTTGAATGATGCTTAGGCTTATTAAAAATACAGTATAATTTATCAAAGGATAAGAATTTATTAAGAGAACGAAACGTGAAATATGAAAATAAATCTCATTTTAAGTACAATAGCGTTTCCGTTAGAATGACGCAATAAAAAACGTAATAGTAGAAATTGTACGTAAAATTAAACATTCAACAAGGTATCAAATATTATAAAGTTATAAAATATTGTTAAATATTGAATTTTT